ATTTTGGATTTTTGAGATATTTCAACTTTTTGAGATTTATGCAGAATCTATTCTATATATGGAAGTAAAAAAAGTACCCAGTTATATGTATCTTTAATCAAAAAATAAATCTGAGTAGTCAAAAAATTTTGGGTTTTAAGTAAAATAATTTCATCTTTTATGAAAAACTATTTTGACTTTTTTTCCTGAAATTGTAATTTCAGGGTTCCAAAATAATTTTGTGTACAAATATAGTTCAGATCTTACAATCAAGTATAATGATTAGTAAATTTTCTTATTATATATTGTACACATCTTGGTTCAATCTGTACTTGAAAAATTTGGAGATGAATGAGTAGAGGATAAAGAATAGATAGAAGATGATGATATTTTACTTGGTTAATTGGATCCCCTCCTATTTATACTTTGGCTATAATATAACGTTGATTATTTTTACTCTGAAATGATATGATGGTTCTGCTGATTGTTTTGAATTCAGTTGCAATTTGACTAAAATTATTATGGTAAGTTTCCAGAACTTACTCTACTTCATTATATTTTCTGGTGAGATTATTAAATGTAGAAATAATATTCTGCACCTCTGTTACATAATTAACATCACAAGAATTAATTTTGGCTTTGATTTTGTCAATTTCTGCAATAATATTAGTAAGCTTTTGCATAGTGTGATACAAAAAGAAATATGTAATAGCAACTCCCATACACAGAGGAACGTGTTTGGGAAATATTATCACAAGGAAGAAAAACAAAGAAGTGGTTAATGTTATAAAAGACATATTCTCCAAAAGGTTGAGTGAGTTCATCTATATGAAAAAATAAATCCCAATTAGTAACATGTGTTGGAGGCACTATATTTGCTATTAATTATAAGGTGCATTGATATTTGATTATAAATGAAGATACTTTATTTTGATTAAAGTTAAGTAAAATTAAGTTCTGTGATAAATTCAGTGAATTTATTTTATTTCAAAAATAACCACAAATTTTATAAATTGTATTGTTTCACTTTATTAATTTTAACATCTTGTGCTTGCTCTACTAAATTTGCAGGAGGATCGAGTAATAAAAAAAATTCATCTTTTATAAGAAATTCATTATAAGTAAAAACAAAAGCTATTAGAACAATTTCAATTTTATTAATCAATATTTGATATAAGTGAAGATTGGAAGTTACCAGAACAATTTCAATATTATCAGTTAGTATTTTGATACAAGTAGAAATTGGAAGCTACCAGAAAGAATTTTAATTTGATTTGATCATAATCATAGTCATATAAATATATATATTTTTTGACAATAAAGAGTGGGTTTTAGTATCTTGTGCTTACTTCGCTAAATATAATTAATTGCAATTTTATTTATAGTTTAAATTCGTCAGCATCATATATTTGTGATTAATTATATCAAAAGAATATTTATTCTGTCAATTTAACTAAAATAATATTCATTTTACTAGTTTTCTGAAGTAAAGTTTATTCTTAGCCTGTGCATGATTAATTTTGATCAATTAGTATTACATTAACCTCTCATAATCAACTCTGTATTCACGTTATTTCAAATACATGCTTATTATAGGTAATAGCGAAACTACATCAGGAAATTTTTAAGGACAAATCTATTTGAATATATTTGAACTAAATATATTAGAAAATATTTAATCACCCACGTATTTATTTACATTGTTATCATGAATTTTCTTCTACTTTTATAATTTCTTATTATTTTATTTTATTTTTATTTCTTATTTGTATTTATTTTATTAGTATAGTTATTTTAGTATATTTAGTTATTAGTATTTATTTATTTAATAGTGTAATACAAATTATGTAAATCAATAATGTAGATCATAGTGACCTAATTACTAACTAATTTACTGATCAATTTAGTAACCAACTAATTGACCAACTTAGTGGCCAACTGATTAGTACAATTACTGACTAAGATTTGATCAATTTACTAACCAACTTACTGGTCAAATCAAATATTATAAAAAGGGTGAATTTTCTTTTCACCCCAAGAGAGATTCAGATAGTTTCAAATAAGATTCGAATAATTCTAAATAGTGAAATGGTTAGACAGTATGGGGTAGGGAAAGGAATCACCATTTTTTACAATATAAAGGGCCTAAGATTCCAGTGGGCATAATTAAAAATGCTTTATTTCTCTCTCTTTGTTTTTACTCCATACTCCTATTCCCGGGATTAGCCCTTTGTAAAATAGCGAAAAAATATTATTATCTACTATCAATAAAAAGTTATTATTTGTAATAAAATTTTACACGTGTGTGTAACTAGTAGCTTGACCATTGCTTATAAAATAAAAACCTGTTCTCAGTTTACATGATATGATAGATTCTGTAGTACTTAACTTAATAAATAATTCCACAGTACTTTGCTTATACAATAGTAGAAACCTTAGAGATGTCTTCAGAATCATCTTCACCAAGCGTATCCTTTGACGAAGAGATGACAAATTTAGTTAAAGATTATGACACCGATGAGCTAATCGAATATTTGCAAAATGTTTTGAAACTTATAGACGCAGATTTTGATATATTTTGTAAAGAGAGGATAAAAGGCTCTATTTTTCTAAAAATGACTAAAGAAGATTTTCACAGTGTTGATTTTGCGTTTGGACCTGCCATGGAATTAGCAAATTTTATTGAAGATCTCAAAAAACGTAAGTTTATAGATTCAAGGTAAATCACAATTATATAGGTCATTACTAAAATTCTCCTCCATATAGCAAACACTCCAAAATCAAACACTGAGCTTATATCTGTTTTTATTGATAATTTCAACTTACTTATTAAGGAAAAGTATATTGTTGGTAATAAAGAAAAAGCAGGTGCCATCGATCCCCATAGAAATTCCTATATCATCAACTAACTCCATCTCGATCATAGCCGTCTTTTATCAACAGTACTGCACAAACTGAAAATAAACAGTGATTTAGTGGTTGTTGGTTCTAAGCTACCCGATAATGATGAGATATGGTTGCAAGCTCGAAATCTTGATTTCGTAACAAACGTCTTTTATCGAAATTGTAAAAATAAAGAGAAGATAGTAGATACTTCTCTTGTCTCTGAAGGGGTGGAAATTGTCAAAACAGATACTCCTGGTATTTTGGCTTTAATAGCTGGCAATGGTGACTATGACCCTCTAATAGTTAAGGCTCTAAAATACAACTGGAAGGTTAAAATATGGTTTTGGTCATCAGGTATAATAATATTTTTTCGTTATGAAAATAAGTATTTTGTTTATATGTAACATTTTATCTATTTCTATAGGAATATCTGGATTTCTTAAGTCTTACGGGACTTTTTATTGTTTGTATAATTACTATAAATACTTTACATATGTACTTAGACCTAGTTCTGAAAAAAATTGTGCTTAAAATAACTGATAGTGAAACAATTAAGCGTTGGAAAGATGGAAATATACTGAATTGCTATGTTTCATTAAAATTATTTGGGTGGTGGTATAAAGAGGATAATAATGTATACATGTATTTTGATGATAAAGCGCACTTAACAGATGCCAAAAAATGGTTGAAAGATAAATATCCAGATAGTATACAGGTTTGAAAAATACAGGAAAGAAAAAGAAGAAATCCATATAAAAAGTAGAAACGTATCATGTATTCCATTATTATTATTAATAAAATGGTCCAATCCTTTCACTCAATTTTTACTTTAGTAAATTAAATTATGGAATACATACATTTGATTATACGTGTTGCCCAAATCCCAAATCATTTGAAATTTGGGATGCCAAAATCTCAAATTACTAGTATTTGGGATTTGGGATTTGGGATTTTGACAAAAAATACTAATCATAATTTGGGATTTGGGATTTGGGATTTTGGCATTTGGGATTTCGGCATTTGGATTTTGAATTTGGGTGGCAGGTATACATTTGATATGATATACTATAATAAATAAAATATTTTTTTGTATGAATCCTGGAATTTATTTCTTCGTTTTTTCACAAATCATAAAGTTGTTTGGCTATCGCATGATTTATTACACATGTGCAATATAGTTTAGTATTGATTAAATCTTGCGACTTTGCAAATAAAATTAAATTCGATCAACGATCAACTTGCAATAACCTAAAATATCAAGCACGATGTTCTATTTTGACATGATTTTATTTTGGGAAAAATGATACCAAAGTCAAAAATGATAAAGTTACATTATATACGTATATATTAAATGTTTATTTGCAATTTAGATATTAATATATATTATAAATTATTTGATTATAGGTCGAAAATTTTAAACATTTGATTAAGAAACCCTTAATTTTTTATATTCTTTTAGGAATAACAATTTCCAGTTTTTCGTCATACCATACCTTAAGAAGAAAAATTCCGTTATCTTGACATATGCATCTTTTTCTCTGATCACGATTAACGATGTCCTCAGGTTTTTTAACATATTTATACCAACCAGTATTATGAAACTGGTGCTGACTTCCTTGCACCTCCAATGCAATTTGATATTTTTGAAAGAAGACATCAAATTCCAATCCATTCAAGAAGGGAGGTCGATACTTAATTATCGGTTCCTCATTTAGAATTTCCTCAACTATTTGAATGCATTTAGTCTGAAATTTGCAATTTTTCTTATCGAAGGTGACTAGATTCTAATTTCTTTGTAAATCCCTCTATAATTGATTTTAATTTTGCATTCCTTGTCTCAAGCTCAAGAATTGTAACCTTAATATACTCGAAAGGATTCATCAGGAAATTTTAAAAGGCAAAAATCTCCAGAAATTTTTCAGTTTGATTATTTTCCGGAAGTTCTGCAGACTTCCGAAATTTTCCGAAAAAAAAATTCGCAATATTCTGAAAATTTTCGCAGTTTTCCAGAATTTTTTGTAATAAAAATTTGCAAATATTCCGGAAATTTTACAAA